AATCATAACTGGTTGACTTAAGGTATGTTGTATTTTTCTCCTTTTTGTGTTTTGAGGCCCCCCTCCCCCCACTTTTTCCCCTTCTATGGTTGTATCTTCCAGTTTCTGTGCCTTACATGAATTATTAGAAAACTTTTATTTTCATGCTGCTTAATTATTAGCTGAGTGTGCTCCATAACCCCCAGGGAAGCTGAGTGCAGGTGGGTGCTCTGCTCTGTGAGGACCTGGGCTCCTGGGCATGCAGGGGCTGTGGGGCCAGGGAGAAGGGCTGGTGGGGCAGGGGCTGCTGCCGTGTGGTGCCCATGCATTGCTCTGCTAAGCTGGCCAGTGCTGACTTGGAGACCATTTCATTTCTCAGGCCACTGTGCTTATCTCCTTCCTCTAATGCTGACTGACCATTTCATCTGCAAGGCAAAAAACCTTGTGCTTGTTATCCCTCAAACTCAGGCTTCTCTGGAGGAGCACTCTTGGGTTCTGGGAGATGGGTCTGCTTTCCTTGATCTAAAAGCAAAATTTCACACTGTTTGTAGTGTGAAAGGATCAAGCCTTAAGATTCCAACTTTTAACTTTTTTTTCTTAAAAAGTTGAGAAGTCAATGTAGGTAGCTCTAACAGTGTTTTTGTGACAAAAGAAAGATGAAAATAGGCTTGATTTAGTATCTGGTGGCTTTCACAGCTTGCACTGAACTCCATGTTTTTACCATGCTGCTTTCAATATATGTGATAATTTATGTGATGTTCAGATACGCTTCCTCAGGTTGCGGTTGTGCTTTCAATAGATACGAAAGTATTTCTGACTTCGTGGTTTTAATCAGATAATATAGGGCTTGAAATGGCATCAGGAGAGGCTTTAATCTTTATTTCTGATATGAAAACCTGCCAAGTGCCTCTGTAGTGAATGCTGATGAAAAGAATACACTTAACAAATACACCTTTTAATTCTGCTTCAGCCTAATCATTCTTAAATGCTTCTTTCATCCTAATCATATGATGGTCTTACAAAATATTTGGTGGGGTTCTTCTAATAAAGTTTTTTTTTTTTTTTGTGAGCTTTTATGCTTTTAGTTCCTCAAACTTTCTGTGACCCTAATGTAGCTTGCAGGAATGTATGCTGTGTTCTGTGTTTTTTGTTTGGGCATAATTTCCTGTTTTTCTTTTTGCTTAAATACTTTTATGGTATGTGTTTATTCTGAATCCTGGGCTGTTTAATAAAGTCATCAGGAGACATAGTCTTCATTACTGGTTTAGGAATGTCTGCAAGTTCCTCTGTAAGAACAACATGTTTAAACACCATATTAGAAACCCAGGATGAATTACTACTTCATGACACCTGCAGCCTCTTGGTGGCCATTTACCACCTTACATTTTCCTTCTCATTTCCTTACAGCAAGCTTCCTTACTCCTTATTCATTCTTCTCCAGTTAATCAGTGCTGTTGTGGATTACCATGCTTTTGATATTACAAAAAGTGTGTTGAATGTGTGTGGAAAATATGTTGCAAGTCTTTAGTAGTTTATATCTCGAACCAGCTTCTGTGGATATGACTCAATTGATTAAGTAAATAATTTCATTTCTTCTTTCTTCTTTGTGCCTGCATACTCTCACATGACCCTATGTGCTTGGATGGCCTTCTTGGCCTTCTCCCCTCAAATAATAATGAAATCGTGTCATGTATCTGAAGAATCCCTGAAACAGCTGCTATTCTATGCCTAACTTCTTTTTTTCCAAAAAGAACGCTTTTGCTTGCTTTATACTGTCTAGATTCATCAACTTGTTTGAGCTCTACCTAATTCATTTTTCTAGAATGAATATGAAAATTTTATTTGTTCCATTTTGCTTCATAACTTCTTGTACAGTTTTCTATGTATATTTTTTTTCCTTAAGGCATAAACTTGTTGCTTGCTCTTTGCTTAGCATATTGTATTTGCTATGCAGTTTTATATATACTTTATATTAGAGTGTGAATAATTTCCGTGCTTGGAGCAGAGCTCTCCTCATGCCCAAGCAGTCCCAGTGGTGCTATGCAAGCATAACTGCGGGGTGAATCTGGCATCTGCTGGGGATGAGTTGCACTTGAACTCGCTGAAATAGCTAGGTGGAAATTTATGCAACATCAAACAACTGCACCTCTGATTAAGTAAATCAAAGAGTTTTCTGGTTAGGACAGGCTAGCCTAGAGCCTTGTAGAGAAAGATACAAGAAGTTTGAGTGTTTGCTTTAAGCAGGGTAAGTTTGTATTCTCCAAAGTGGGATGCTTTACCTATATTATAAGAGAAACTCAAACAGAAGCTGCTAGATCTTGATGAGAATGTAAATTGATTTGTTCTACTTGATGGAAAAGCCCCCTGACCCAAAACATGTCATTCCATCTGTCAGCATATAGGCACCAGAGAAGAAAAATGAATGGCTAAAGCTATGGCTTTGGAGGAGTTCCTTTTGGAAGTGTTTACATAGCACCTATTCTGTACCCTGTATTAAAAGATAAGCTGCTTTCTACCTTGTATCAGAGGTAAATCACTTCTTAAATCAAAAGTGGATAAATAAAACAAACTGTTTTATGGAAAACTTTTTTTTTCATTCCACCCCCCCCCCCCCTTTTTTAACCTTTGCTTTTCTTTTTACTCCTGTTAAATCATTAAAGAAAGGTAGAATAACAAAAAGGTAATACACTTAGATCTACCATACATGAGATAGCCCATTATCTTGCTTGTAGATAGGTTTTGATTGAGCTAATGTGGAGCAGCATTGCACTGGTACATCTAACAGATACTTGTTTATCTGATGCATACTGTTTGTTCCAGGCTTATAGATAAATGCATAGAATATATTGAATTGCAAAACAGAAAACATATTGAAGCCCCCTAAGAAATATCTCAAGTATATTCTACTTAGCCAAACCCTCAACAAACACACCTGTTTTTCAGTTCTTCATCTCATTGAAATGAGATGCCTGTCATATATGTCTTCAGAAATTTGTGAGCAACACTTTCCTTGCCTTTTTTTTTGTGACAGACTGGCAGGAGAGAGCAGTAAATGTCTTCAATTCTAATGCAACAGTTTCTCAAAGCAGTTGAATCTTAATGCACATGATTTGCTCTACTAATTACTATTATTACATGAAAACTATCTAAAACTTCAGCGCTTTGCACAAACATTTAGTTTCATGAGATGCTCTTAGCCCTAGTTTATGTGGTATCATAGACACTGATGTGGGTTTACAGAGTAAATCCACCCTGCCCTGGGCAGGCAAGTAGCCAGTGTTTCAGCGAGCCCCAGGGGAGGAATGATGGTGGGTGGTAAAACTGGCTTTTGATGACTTAGCAGTCTACCAGCTGTGACTGCGAGGCTGACTTGATTGGGAAGGATCCTCAGCTGATATAAATCAGCAGTTCCGTAAGTTTTGTTACTTCTTTGTTCAATGAGAATTAAATGCCAGATTGACTCTGGGGGGATAGAAAAAAATATATACATTTATTGTCTCTTAATTCCCCTTTAATTATTTCTATGAAAACTTTCAGAATCATTCCTAACTGTAAGAATACTTTTCTGGTGATAGAGCAGCATGGAAATGACCAAATATTTTGTCTGAGACAGGAGATAGTTTTTTCCTTGTATTGTTATTGAGGTGGCAAGTTAACGCACAACAGCTTAGACATTTTCTGGGTACATCCATGGGTGCATGTTCTTAAGGAAGGTGGAGACTGGGCAAGGCTCCCTGTCCCTCTACCTGTGCTCGGAGCCTCCGGTGCCAGCTGGCAGGCAGGACTGTCTCAGGTAGACACAAGGGACCACGTCCTCCTCCAAGAAGCCAGTAGGAGAGAGAACCCAGAGTTCCAGGCAAAGCCCTGAGCATCGGAAGCACTTCTGTAGATCAGTAGGAGGTGTCTGAGCTGTAGCTCCTTGTACATCCCCCATATGGAGCCGGTACTGTGTTCTACAATAAAATAGTGATTTAAAGCACACTGGACTAGGTGTTTTTGCTTTAAAAAGGGTTTTCAGATAGCAGTTTACTGATAAGTCTCTATGCTTTTACTGGAGAAGTTATTGGAATGTAACAGCATTAACAGCATCTTTCACTGAATAAAAATCATCTGATCCACATGTGAAACATGCTTAGGTCTGTAGTGACTGGAATGTATCTCAGATTTGAGTTCTTGCTATTTAAGTTGTGCTAATCTGCCTGGGATGAGCAGTGCAAATGTGAGGCCTGACCCAGATCTGCTCCTGCACACGAGGAAGCACCAGTGTTGTGTTCTGCATCTTAACAGGCTGTGCCCACAGTCAAAATAGGTTTTCACCAAAACTCTTAATCTGGATGTCCCAAATCGAAGGGCAGTCTTGTCACTTTCTAGAGGTAAAAATTCTTGGGCAAACAGAAAACTCAGAGTTAACATGACTGCCAAGTTAAACACAAGCTAAAAATCCTACGTCCAAGTTTCAGCATCAAATGTATTGTTCAACTGCCAGTGAGGTTTCATTTTTGGAAGTAACACCTTTTAAAGACTAGTGGGAAGGGATGTAATAAGGCAATGTAATATCAACCCATTTGTTAAAGCATTCAACAGTCATAACACAGGCTGAATCCTAGAGCTTTTTCTGCTGTATTTCAAGGTTTGTAATCATGTTTTACTTGATGGAAAAGGACTGGATTGTATCAGTAAGCTCCTGCAGATTCACTGTGTGACTCCCACCTGTTTTTGTGCCCAAGCTTGGTTCTGAATTGAGTAGTGGGTGGCTTGTCTAGAAATGAATTTCTATTGGAAACTCAGCAGCAACTTACAGGTTTCCTTTCTAGTGTCTGGCCATACCAGAAACGGAGGTGAGAATTTTTTTTTTTTTAATGAAGAAAACCTTTCTCACAATGTATTAGAGGTGTCTAATTTGAACCGAGATTTCTGAGAGTGATGGGTTTATAACTCTGAAGGGAATTAGACATTAAAATGGCATTTAAAACCTTGTCTTTAGACCTTAATTCTGCTTTTATTTTTTTTTCTTACAGTGGAACTCTTGCTTAAAACAATGTAATTTACACGGCCATTTGGAAGCAGGTGCAAGCTGGATTTGATTGCGTTACAAGCCCAGAGGTATGTTAGTGCAGCACAATGCCTAAGTTAATAAATCTGGGAGGTTATTTCAGCATGTGTTCTGCACCAAACTAACCTATGACTGCTGGTCAATTTGCAGGCCAGGCAGAGCTTTTTTTCCCCTGGCCTGTCTGCAGCCATCTGGACGTTGCAGAGAGGGTTTTACTGTACAGGACCTGAGGGGCAATGTCTCAGAGAAGGAGAGCTGGGCTAGTGGCCTCTACTGCACACAGTGAATTGCTGGTCATGTAGCAGTTCCTCATTCTTTGGCCCGCCTTTGGCCCGCACAACTTTAGCACTGCATGGTGCCCACTTAGGTATTATTAAGTCAGAGTTCAAGTGAGAAAATACACCTCTTGGTCTTAAACCGTGGTTGTTTTAAGTGGGTCCTGTAATTTCACTACTCACTTCCTGCTAACTATGTTAAAAGATTCAGGAGGCTCTGAGGAAGTTCTGTGGATTTTATTCTTCTGGATAAAGGTTTCTAAACAACATTGTTGTTACAGGCTTTTTATTTTCTTTCTTTTTTAACAACTACAGAAGGTTCTTTCTCTGTTGCTTATTATATCTCATTTAAAGCTTTAATGTCTAGCATTTATTCCAAGGAATAATATACTCATTCATCAATATCCCATTAGTAAAAGAGTGAAAGGCTTAGCAGACGTCTGTGGAAAATGTTGCTGAAAGGATGGAGATGGTCAGCTCTAATGTTCCGTAGTGCTGCTCTGATGTATGGAGCTTGGAGAATTTCACTGTGAAATACAACCACCTGCTTTCCTAAAGAATGTTCTCAATTGTTTCTAATGCTTGATTGCATTTAAGTATGTGTGTATGAATGTGTAAGCACACATGGAAAATTTTATACCCACATATCACTGAGAGGCTTTTCCTCCTATAAATTAATTTCAGAATTTGTCTGGATAGCTTCACAAATGATATTCAGAACACTTTCTAATTTAACGTGTTAAACTAAACTAGGAATTTGAAAACAATCTGTGCACTAGTAATGCTTCTCTTATTTCATGCTTGCTTTTTATTTTTTCTGTCACATATGCAGAAGATCTACTCTGTTCAGGGAAGGATAATTAGCACGCTAAAAACTGACCTCAGGAGTAAACCTTCTCCTGAATAAGGGAGACACTGAACTACAGCTAGTATTTTGTATTTTACAAATCTATCCTTTAGCAATGGTATTGACGATCCTATAAGAGAAAGAAAAATCTTGGAAACAGGTTATCAACTCTTTCATCAGCTATAATGCAACTGCTTTAAGAGTTGCATTACTTGTTGATGACCATCTGGTAGATAAAAACGAATTGGCAAAGTGACTTCAGTCACTCCTTGGGCATGCGGCACCTCAGTACCACCAGTGCTCTGTAATTGGCACAGAGCAGGTGCTACCTGGACACTAAAGAGAAAAGCAGCTCTGTAATGGTGTGGTTCTTCCTCTGCGCAGTTTCGGGTACAAAGACCATGCCTGTTTCACATAAAAATACCAATTCCTGTCACAGGACTTCTGGCCTTAAGTCTATCATTAGAAGGATCCTAAAATCCTAATCTCTTATTGTTCATCAGCTTTGGAACCATTCCAGTGATCTGGACTTGGGAAATGACTTTCACTAAAATGTAATGTTCAGTAACTCCTCAAGCCCCATTGTAAATTTTATGCCTCTCTTATCTAAGTGTCCATTTTAGTTATCCATGTTTAGATGAACATCAGCTCATTAGTTCAAAATTTTCACGATATCATAGTTAAAAAGATAAAGATTTTTTCAAGAACATTAAAGCATTTGCTCTGCTATGTATCCAAGTAGTAAAGTACATGTTTGCTTGTAATAAGTGTGTGATCTGGTATTTATTTTTTGCCCTCTTACCTTAGGTAGGTACTTACAAAATGTAAAATAAAGATTAGTTTAAATTATGCATATAGATTTCCACCTTCATGGAGTTAGATTAAACGTAGCTATTCTTCCATGTATGCTGACACATTTAACACAGAAATTTTCTCCAAGTGATCTTAAAATGGTCTTAAATTACTTATGACATGTGCAATGAATTGTTTTCTGAAAGATATCAGGTTAAAAAACATGTCTCCTGGCTTAGGAGACCCAGTAACCTGTCAAGCTGGAAAGAACCTATCCAAAACTCTAAAAGCAGGTGATCTCTGTTGAAGATGTTTGATCAGTGAGAGCTAGAAGTGATTCACTGTCTTCCACAGTGACCGGAAAATGGTGTGTAGTTAGCAATATAGGTCCAATAGGTTGGAACTGAAATTAAGAAAGATACAACTATGAGATAAAAAGAACTGCAGTGTTTTTCTATATAGAAAGACTGTTGCCTGTGTTGAAAAGTAGTATTTTCCAGTGCACAGACTCAGTAAAGAGGCCTTCTCTTCTGTGGCTACAAATAGCAGAAGGAAAAGGCTAAGGGTCCTTCTGTGCTCTACAAAGTTAGTGACCACGTGATTTATTTCATGTGGTTATCACAGGGAGATTGCTGGAGGATTCTGTTGCATAGGGGCCCTTGCTTCTCTCTATCACGTCGGATGCTTTTAATGCAGACTTTTCAGTCTTGTTCAATCCTTTTTTTTTCTTTCGTTTTTTCAAGATCAAGGTAGGTCCCTAGAAGAATAGGATGTTTCTATAAAACAGACAAGACAGCCCTGAAAACCCCCAAAACTTGGGCGAGATTTTCATTAAATTTACCAGTATGTACTCAGGGAGGAAAATGAATTGCTATAGTAATATAATTTTCATTGATAGCTCTGACTCTCAAGTAGCTTGGACACTTTTGTGGGAATAGGAACTGTACCACATGCTTGCTACTTTAGGCTAGAATTGTTAGAGTATTCTTGGAAATGAAGGGGGAAAAATCTTGATGTCCTCTTAATGTACTTCTGGATATACTTAACAGGTTTCACTGTTGTGAGTTACCAAATGACATGGCCAGGTATTTCCTTAACAACCTTTTCCGTTTCCTTTCTCGAGTCTGGCATTTCACAGTAGCGTTACTGCGAGCATTTAATTGGTTTCCCTTGTATATCTGGCAGTTCTCTCCATCAGTTTAAACTTCCTGCTTGCATTACCTCCCACTCGCAGTGTCAGGAGATTATACCTGCATATACCTCTGCTGCCTCCTTCCACAGCTCTATTGCCTCACGTTGATCTCTTCAGGAAACTACAGAGGCCATCAGACCAGTTTTACTGTGTGGTGCTAAGTAATCTTGTATTTTGCGGGTATGAATGATTTGTGTTTTAGCAAAATAAAATAATTTGGTGTTATTCTCAAGTGTCTTGGAGCTGAACTCATGTTCAGCTGTGGGAGTCATCTCATGTTGGGAACATGACTCCAGGTCTGCATGGGGGCCTCAAGGTGTCGGCACCTGTGTATGTACCTATAAGGAAGCTCATTAAGGGACAATGTGGTTCTCAGAGTTAAATTCTGCAGATGCGATGCCTGGAGCTACAATTTTGAACATGACCTTCCCTAAAAATGCTGTTCAGATTTGTTCTTAATTAATGTACCTTCAAGGTTTAAGTTTGTCACTTTTTCAGTAAGCCAGTTTCGCTTAGGAATCTGCCACTTAGCTGAGTAACACTAAACTGCAGTGTCAAAAGCTGATTGATTGCAGCTTTCCATGAACTTGGATGCAGGCCACCCAGTGGGTAATAGATTTGCATTTGGTGCAGAATTTTCCATGCTGCTCTATTTCTGTCTCCTCGATGGTCGTTTCTGGCTCTCTTCTCCACTCCTTTTCATCTTTGCAGAGCTCCTGTAGCTCCATAGGTTAACTCATTAGCCTCTTTTTGCCTCGTTTCAGGCTCCCTCAAGTCCCTGTTTTGTTCTCTGCACCCCCAGAGGGTTCACCTTCCACTTATGCTTTAGCCACAGTATTTTGAAAAATTATACAACAGAAAGGAGTCGTGCTGCCAAATGAAATGTGATGAGCTCCAAGGATGACCCAGAGAACACAGGGATTGGGATCTTCATTGCCTGCTTTCCTGCAAACCAATAGCAATGACAGTGCTTATAAGGGATCCTGCAGTTTATGGCTTCTGAGGGGATAGACTGTGAAAACTGAGTTTCAAATGCTTTCTGAGGTGGATATTTCTAGGTTTTGCAACATCTCTCCCTCAACTAAAGAGTACCTGAGTTTTAATGAAGAAGATGAGCACTCTTAGCTCTTATGGAGCTGTAGGTGGAACAACTGTAGTGAAAACAAAACTCCGTCAGGAGGATGTTCTTTCACATGCGAGAAAGCAGTTTCACTGGAGTTCCTAAGTGTCCGTCTCTGCTCTGGTAAGGCTAGGAGATTTTCAAAGGTCCTGTCTCACACATATGAGCATATGAACAAGCAGGACACTTTGTTGGTGTTTGTCTTTGAAAATCTTCCTCAGAGACTTCAAACGGAAACCTAGCTCCTCAACTCTCCCAAAGCTCACCACCATTATTAGAAGGTTCACAAGAGAGGCCTCCTTCCCACTTTGCCAGACACAGTAAATGTATAGGTTTTACTCAGGCATTTGCAGGAACAAAAAATGGGTCCCAAACCTCTAAGTCTATGAACTAAGAGGATTTACCACAGTAAAGCCAGAAGCAGTTGCTGCCAAACTACATCTAAATGCAGTATTCTGGTTGTACTCCTTTAAATTAATGTGGTAAAGATATATCATAATCAGTATTGGAGCAGAATTATATGAAGCAGTTGCCCTGACAGATAAGATTAATTGTCCTGTACATTGCTGACATTTACCCCTATCCATCCTTAGGGCTGTGGGAAGAATGTTACCCTCCTCAGGTCATTTTGAGAACACATTTACTACCAATATGTTATTTAAAAATATTATAAAATCTGATCCATCAGAATGGAGGTTTTCTATCAATGTTTAGATGGTCGTATCTCATTAGAAGATTTTAAAATTAGGTGGGTAAATGTTAGCAGCTATCAGATAGAGTTTGGAGTTTCTGTAAGGCATGTATACCTTAGATATTCTTATAAA